TTTTTTTTTATTTATTATGTATACAATATTCTGTCTGTATGCCTGCAGGCCAGAAGAGGGCACCAGACTCCATTACCGATGATTGTGAGCCACCATGCGGTTGCTGGGAATTGAACTCAGGACCTTTGGAAGAGCAGGCAATGCTCTTAACCTCTGAGCCATCTCTCCAGCCCCTGAGTAATAGATTTTAATTAAGTTATTTGTATTGTGTTATGAAAGAAAATGAATAGTAGTGACAATAAGTCCGACGTGAGCAATTGAATATTAAAGAGGTTTCTATCATAGTCTCAATACTGTGTGTTTTGTATAGGTAGTTGTGTTGTGTGTTCTGGAACACAAAACAAATATGAATGTATTTCTTTCAAACCTAAGTGTTTTAGCAGCTTTTCTTTTTCTTAAATGCAGAGTAACTCCATAATATTTCAAAAAATGCAGTGATATCTTTCAAATTTTCTGTCTTCACATAATTTCCAAAAGAAAGCATAAAACGTCATTGAACAGAAAAAACTTATTTCAGACTTCATTTTATTTAAACAGAATTAAATACGATTACTTCATTATCTCATGCTACACCTTATTTCTCGCAGCCTTCAACAATTGGATCCATGGCTCTAACAGAAGGGGCCTTGTGTCAGCACGATCTCATCAGGGTTGTTTACAGTGACCTTCATCCTCAGAGAGAGACCTTCACTGCGCAGAACCGGTAATGGTCAAACTGCAGAGTGGGGCGGGCAGGATCCCTCGGGGTAACCACTGGCCGCTCTCCCAGAGAACCTGGGTTCAGTCCCACCATCCACAAGGTAGCTCACAACCATCTGCAATCGGTTCCAGGGGATCTGACATCTTCCTCTTGCTTCCACGGGCACCAGGCATGCTTGTGGTACACATGCATACATGCTGGCAAAACATTTCCACACACAAAATAAATCTAAAATAAGTTTTTAAAAAACTTCGTAGTAAATAAATGTAAAAAAATAAAAACTTCACAACACGAGGTGGTGATGGCACACACCGTTAACCCCAGCACTCGGGAGGCAGAGGCAGGTGGATCTCTGTGAGTTCAAGGCCAGCCTGGTCTACAAGAGCTAGTTCCGGGACAGCTAGAGGTGTTACACAGAGAAACCCTGTCTCAGAAAACAAAAACAAACAAACAAAACAACAACAACAGCAAAAAACCTACCCAGCAGCAATGGTGAATTTCATCCAAGTCTGAAACCTGGTGGGCACAGCACAGTGGCACAGGCGGACAACCCGCACACAGTCTGTGTATCGGGGCAGAGGTGAAGCACAAGCAGCACAATGTCGTGTAGAATGACCTTCAGTCTGTGTGTGCGTGGTACACGTGAAACATAAATGAGGTTCTGGTATAGACTTGGGTCTTACCGCCAAAGAAGGCACACATTACAAAATCTGAAAATCAATACCAAGGCTCCACCACTCCTCCCCACCTCCCAAGTTCTTAACGTCTCGTCCTTATTGTTACTTGTATATACATAGGATGTATGTGTGTATATGCCTGTGTATATGTAATCTGCTGAGTGTTTGCTTGCATGTGCACATATCCAGTCCTGCCCACTGGGATTGGACAGCTAACGCTTGTCTGTGGAGAAAGCTGGCTCCTCATCCCGAGTACTACAGCAGGCCGGTCAGCACCCTTGTGGTGTCTCCATGTGTCATCCGTAACCAGATTCTTCCCCTCTCCCCTCTACTGTAAATGGTTTCTGCTGCTTGGGGGAAGTTTTCTGCTTATGGAGTAGTTCAGCAAACTCTATTAAACAAGGTTAGTATAACCAGTCAGATACGTGCTGCGGGACTGGAGAGCTTGCTCAGCGGGTAAGAGCACTGACTGCTCTTCCAGAGGACTGGGGTTCATCCCCAGCACCCACATGGCAGCTCACATCTGTCTATAACTCCTGTTCCAGCAGATCTGACACCCTCACACAGACATACATGCAGGCAAAATACTGATGTATAAAAAAAAAAAGTAAATAAATTTTAAAAAAAAACTAAAGAAAAAGAAAATACTGATGACAGCAAGGGCTATGGTTCATAATAAGAAAAAAACAAACTGTAGAGGAGGGTCCTACAGTAACCTGATTAAGAAGAAATCATGAAGATGTTAAAACCATTTACTATTGTTGGTGATAGACATAAGTGTGGTTTTGTTGTCGTTTCTCTAGGTTTGAGGTCCTGAGCTTCCTCATGCTGTGCTATAACTCAGCGATTGTGTACATGCCAGCCTCGTCCTACCAGTCCCTGTGTCAGATGGGCTCCAGGTGAGGACAGTGGTCACGGTCGTGCATAGTCTTAGGGTCACTCGGGAAGTGCCCTGTCCGCCCGCTACTTAACATCTGGTACGGAGTACATAAAATTCATGGAGCTTACATTCTCAGGAGTGAGAATTATTTTAGGCATCTGGAGAGGTGGCTGGCTCAGTAGGTAGAGCCCTGGCTTCATCTGCACAGGGCGGGTTCAGTCCCCGTCATCTGCTCAGTGGCCTGCAGCTCTGCTTATCCAGACCACGTCTTCCAGCGTCCTCTTGAGAACGCTGGTACTGCACTGACATACGCACACATACACACGTGGAGACAAAACAGTTACACACAGATACACATGTGCAGACAAAACACTCACACAGATATACACATGCAGACAACATTTACACATACATATACACATTTTAAAATGATAAAAAGATTATTTTAACACTCAATAGAACGTTGCCTAGCTGAACAAGGGGCAGGTCACGTCCACTAAGTCTAGGGTCATTTGTCAGCACACCAGATTGCTCCTGGAATCACTGTTTAAATGAATCAGTGAAACAAAAGGCAGGTGTTTTGATATTTTGGCTAATAGTAGCTTCAACGGTATTTGTTATCACTGCCTACAGAGGTGATAGCATAGTCTACTTGGCATCATGACTACTCTTACACCTCCTTAAAAGAGGACCAAAGAGTTCATGTAGCATCAGCTGTTATGTTAAAATTAAACATAGTGGACAAGGACACACTGACATATAAACAGCATGTAGAAGCTTCAAGGGCAAGCTTGGTAATAGGAGCAGCAATCCCAGCCTTTACTCCTAGCACTCAGCAACAGAGGCAGGTAGATCTCTGTGAGTTCCAGAACAGCCAGGGTCTCAAAAGGAAAGAAGGAAAGTACAGTTCATTCTGCCAAGCAGCCACCAAAATGTTGACTGAGGTTCTGTCCCGCCCTGCTGTCATTCCGTCCCAAAGAAACACACAGAGGTCTACATTAATTATAAACTGATTGGCCTAGTAGCTCAGACTTCTTATTAACTCTTATAAAAATTTATATTAGCCCATTATTCTTGTCTATGTTAGCCACGTGGCTTGGTACCTTTTTCGGTGAGGCAGTCGCATCTTGCTTCCTCTGTGGCTGGGTCACGACTGGAGACTGAGCTTCCCTCTTCCCACAATTCTCCTGTTCTCTTGCCCCACCTCTTCTTCCTGCCTGGCCCCTGGCTAATCAGCATTTTATTAAAAAATAATACAAGTGACAGGATAAAAGACCATTGTCCCACAGCACCAGAAGTCCTTGGTGTGCAATACCTGGGAACAGGTGCTGCTGAGGTGTGGAGAACAGACCTTGCTGTTTTGAGGTTACTCGTGGTGGATCCATTGTGGAAGGAACGGCCCCACTGCCATGAGAGTCTCCAGTCCAGTGCTGGACTACACAGCAAAGAAAATAAGTAGATAACAGATGTGCACATTTAATAGTGGTTGTGTAAAACATCAAATAATTGTGGTCTCATGAGCAACAGTATTTTTCTATGTCTGTTATAAGATGTATGTGCTATCTAGTAATTCTCCACTACAATTTTGGATGGATAAAAGCTATGTATGTATATATTTGAGAATAGGTACAAAGATGTCTGTGAGAGAGATTGTTAGCTGTTTGGAGAAACGTGTCACTTCATGAAATACATGCCTTATGAATAAAGGCATGCTTTAAAAAATTGAAAATGAGGCATGTTCTACAGTTCACAACTCTGGCGTTTAGCAGGCATCAGTAGCCGAAGGGCGATGAGTTAAGTCTGTGATCAGCCAACCAGGAGACCATTCTCAACGACTGTCTTCCAGGGTTTGTGTGAGTGGGTTTCCTCGGCAGCACGAGAAGCAGTGGAAGGAAGTCTGCGGCCGGATAGTGCTGGATCCTGAGTTCATGGTGCAGCTTCTCACAGGCGTGTACTATGCCATGTGAGTAGGAAGAAGATAAATTCTGCAAGTGGGATTTTCCTTCTTTATCAGAGACTTTTGTTCCGCGATATGTCTGCTACCTTGTTTTTCTAATACAGTGTCTATCAAGTACTTTTAACATAGCTACTTAATTTCCTATATGCAATCTGTATTTATATAGTTCATTATGCTTATCATGAATACTTTAAAGAGATTACTCTGAATATCAACACACGATAAAATCCAATTTGTTTAAAGAAACTTAAACTACTTGAAACATAGAGCTGAAATCTTCATTTTGTTATAAGTAAATATAGGATACATTCAGCAGTGAAATTTAAAGTGTAAGTTTTGTTTTATAACTAAAGAAGTAGAACTTGGAACCATTTTCTTTTAAAGTGCTGAAGATCAGAGATATCTATTAAAAGTACTAAATAGCAGGGCAGTGCTGGAGCACACCTTTAATCCCAGCACTCGAGAGGCAGAGGCAGGTGGATCTCTGTGAGTTCCAGGCCAGCCTGGTCTACAGAGTGAGCTCCAGGACAGCCAGGGCTACACAGAGAAACCCTGTCTTGAAAACAGAAAGAAAGAAAGAACTAAATAATGCCTCCCACAGGTATAATGGACAATGGGACCTTGGCCAGGAAGTGCTTGATGACATCATTTATAGAGCCCAGCTAGAGCTCTTTTCTCAGCCACTCTTGGTAAGTCATTTTTTATATTTGTTTTCCATGATGAGTAGAGGTTTGTTTAGGTCCTAGTTCTGGAGGTGTGTTGACTCTTCTGTTTTTGGTATTCGAGGCAGGATTGCTCTGTAGCTTTGGAACCTGTCCTGGAACTCACTCTGTAGACCAGGCTGGCCTGGAACTCACAGAGATCCACCTGCCTCTGCCTCCCTAGTGCTGGGATTACAGGCATGTGCCACCACGGCCTGGCATGTGTTGACTCTTCTTAAAGCATGTGGTCAGTGTGGTCAAGGGCCAGAGGGCAGGGGCGCTGTTGAGATAAATTGAAAACATGAAACGTTTTGAAATCCTTAAGAACAGAGAAGACCAAGATGAGCGTCGTAGTTTACACTGGAAATACCAGCGGAACCAGGAGATTGCCACACCGTGCGGGGGGGTTCTCACCTGCACAGTGAGCTCTTGGCTTTTCCAGACAGTAAAGCTGTTTTAAAGGGGGTCAGCCACCTGACTTTTACTCGGATGTAGAGAAGAAGAAAGGCTGTTTAAGCTTGTGTGAAATCATTTTGTTATTATTATCAAAACTAGGAGAGTTTAGAAATGAAGTAGTCACTGAAGGAGATTATTTTTCTCCGCAAAAACATGTAAATTCTTAACTATTTCCTTTATATAGAAAAGTTATAGAGCTGGGCAGTGGTGGTAACTGTCTTTAATCCTAACACCCAAGAGGCAGAGACAGGCAGATCTCTGGATTCAAGGCCAGCCTGGTCTACAGAGTGAGTTCCAGGACAGCCAGGGCTACACAGAGAAGCACTGTCTAGAAAAAAAAAATTGTGGTGATGTCCATGGCCTGTGAGGTCACAAGGGGCCACAGAGGGGAGCAATGGTTGCTGAAATCCATGGGGCATGCTGGGCGGCCCTGCCTGTCCCTATCCCTGTCTGTCCTTTGCTGGATGGACACTGTAGCAGGAGCCACAAAGGGTCACAGAGGGGAGCAATGATTGCTGAAATCCATGGGGCGTGCTGAGCTGCCCTGCCCGTCCCTGTCCCTGTCCCTTGCTGGACACTGTAGCAGGAGAGCCGCCTCTGCACTGGGAGAGATGGCCTCACCTCTCACCATGGGCATGGGAGAGCTCGCTCTGCCCCTCGACAGAATGGGGCCATCCCAGTGGCCTGGACCAACCAGCTCAACTTGTACCCAGACCCACATTATATATTCTTTTCAGCAGGCTTTTTAAATGAAAATTTATTTTTAAAATGTGAGTCATATAACACACTGGATTCTGGAAGTTGCTGAGTTTCAAAAGGAAAGAGTATTCCAAATAAAAATGTTCAATATTTGTACTAAGATATAAAACAAGTTAGAATTCCTGCTTTTTCATGTGATAATAACAGAACTTAACCTGTGATAAAACAGTAACATGTTTCTGCACTCCTGCTGAAAAGAATATATAATATTGATAACAGCTGGGCGGTGGTGGCACACACCTTTAATCCCAGCAATCCGGAGGCAGAGGCAGGCGGATCTCTGTGAGTTCAGGACCAGCCTGGTACAGAGTGAGTTCCAGGACAGGCTCCAAAGCTACAAAGAAACACCTGTCTCGAAAAACCACACAAAAAAATAAAAAGAATATATAATATTGAAAATAAACATTTCTGACACGTGTGCTTTTATATTATACTACATTGTATATCTGTGGATGTTCAGAATAATGGGAACATGCATATGGAAGAGGTAAAGTAGTATGTCGGTTGTAAATCTGTACAGACTGATGTTATCACTTTAGGTCGCCAATGCCATGAAAAACTCCTTACCATTTGATGCACCTGATTCTTCTCAAGAAGGTCAGAAAGTCCTTAAAGTGGAAGTCACTCCGACAGTGCCGAGGATCTCTCGGACTGCGATTACAACAGCTTCAATCCGGCGTCATCGCTGGAGAAGAGAAGGTCAGTACAAATCCATGGCTTAAAAATGGATTCAAATAAACTTAGCACTGTTTGTACAAAACCCACTAATGCTTGGTAGTAATGGATGCTCTGTGGACTAAAGTAAAGTAGTTTCATTTAAAAATGGTACTAGCAGTATGATAATGCTTACTTATTTTGATGTAAAAGTGTCTGTTTATAAAGTAGAAAGATGTTAGGTTGTTCTATTAATGTTAAAACGAAGAATAAGACCTGGGTAAATTTTGTCTTTTTTTTTTTTTAACTAGTAATGAAAATCGGGGACAGTGTCGCTTTTGAGCTTGTTAACTGGGAAAAGGTACATGTATGAGCACTGTGGGAGGAAACAGCGACTGGTCCAGCTGACCGTATGATACACGCTATCCACAGAGGAACTGGTTTTTCCCTTTTTCCCCTAAGAACTGAACCCAGCAATATTTTACGGACATGTTCCTGAAGAGTCAGGCTGTCTTGCTTACGAGACGTCGTCATTTTTAACGATCCCCATTTTTCCGCCCTGTTCACTTGCGAACCTCACATTGTTCATCTGCTGCCTTATGTGTGTGTGAGCTGTGCACACACATGTAGCTATAGAGATAGTGTTTGTGTTGATGTCATCCGTATGTACATGCCTGGGTCAGAATGCTCAGAAGAGGACAGAGCAGCACCAAAGTACTAAAATGTTATATGTTGAATCCCAGATGGCTTTGACTTCTCAAACGAGGCTGACTCGAGTATTCCCGGCTCCCCGATCCAACACGGCTCCACTGACCTAGGGATCATACGTGTGCGAGAGGGGGAGGTGCGCAGGACCCCTGAGCATGGCTCGCCGGAGCCCACCTCGGCAGCAGCCACCACAGAGGGTAGGACAGAGATGAGGAGGCAGGAGTCAGTGAGGCAGTTGCTGGAGGAGGACCTTTCCGTTGTAGTGTGTGTCTCCACTGCCCTGGGTGTACTAGCTCCTCTTTGCAAAGCAGCCCCCCTCCCCTGTGCCTAGCACCAGGTTAGGTGCGATCTTCAGTTGCCATTTGTGCTGGCCTGGAGTCTGCTTCCCTGTGTCACCAGACGGCAGCTTGGCATGGCTACTAACAAGGCAGGGCCTGGATGAAAAGTCTGCAAACGCTTGGAGGCTTTCATTACTGAGCATGTTTACTCTAACACAGGATCGTCCGTACTAATGTGCACACAGGATGGTTTCTTCTGTAAAAGTCTGTGAAGAGAGTCCACTTAAGAAACCCAAGTGGAGCTATGTTCCTAGGGTATCTCCCTTCTCTGACAGAGCGCTGGAACTGGCTGGCTTCTCAACAGCTGGACTAAGTTCCTAATAAATCACTGACATCTTCTGACTGCTGTCCCGAAGCGTTGTGCCCCCCCCCTTTGTTTATGAATAACGATAGCCCCAGACGGATGAAGTGTGTTGTTCGCAGGTCGTGAGCAGAGCTTTGTCTCTCCCGTGTAGGTGTAGGCAGATAGGAGCCCTGTGCATGGAAAGCCACAGGAGTTAGCTTTGTGGAAGACAGAACTGTAGCCCATAGCCCCCGGAGGACTACCCTAAAACTACACTAATACATCTCTGAGTGCCCTTGAAAGAGACCAGCTCTTCATACTAAAAGAACAAACACAGAACATTTACTTTCTACCTTACAGAAGTATCTCTCTCTTTGGTGTACTAGAACTTTGAGCATGCTCAGTAAGAATCTAAATGTTCCCTCGGTTCCTCACCTGTTTGCCCAGATTGTCTTACTTCATGTAACACTTGTGCATGTGCATGAACCGCTGCCCCACAGGTGGTCCTGCTGTAGAGACTCTTCCTGACGTGCCTGTGGAGGTGTGCCTTCCCTCCTGGTCTATTTCCTGTCTCTCTATCTGACCCCTAGTAGCAATTAGATCTACCTTGTCTAAATGCAAAATATATATAAAATTAGTAGATTTTTGGGGGGCTGGAGTGGATCCAAACTATGTATAATTATTGTTAGGATGTTGAGAGTATTTGTGCTAAAAATAACACCATATTGACATTGAAATTCTTGCCGGTGTGACACTAGGCTAAAGCATTACTTCTAATTTGCCAGTCATAGGCTTTGAAAAGGAACCAAAACAGTAATTCATCTTGAATGTTTGAGGTATTGTGCAGGGTATATAGACCAAGGATAGTGGATACAGTTCTTTAGCGCATTTGGAGCTGGTGTGGTGGCGCACACCTCTGCTCCTAACTGAGGAGACTCAGGCCAGCCTACGCTCTTGTGCAGTCCAGACCAGTGCAGACAGAGGCAGAGAGTCCCTGTCTCACAAAAGGACAAGATAATTTATCTCTTAACCTGGGGTAGTTGTGGGTTTAAACACGGAACATGCTGTGGACAGAAGGGTCAGTGGGGCCCTTTCCAGCTGTGTGTCTTGGAGTCATGCATGTTTTCACCTACAGAAGAGCTACAACAGGAAGCATGTTCTGAGACTCAGTTGCGTTTTATTTTCCTGGGGGTTTCTGTTGGTGGTGGTCTTGGTTTTGGTTTTTCGAGAATGGGTTTCTCTGTGTAGCCCTGGGTGTCCTGGAATTCTCTCTGTAGACCAGGCTGGCCTCATAAGAGATCCATTTGCCACCACCTCCCGAGTACTGGGATTAAAGGTGTGCGCCACTACACAGCATCCTTCGAGGGTTTTTAAGACAGAGAAAAGGAAATTGATTAATATTTATGAGAATTTTGTTCATTCACTAAAACCCTAAAGCTTTTATGATCACATATATAATGTACTCTAAAGTAAAATATATTTATAGTAATGTTTTTACAATAAAAGTGTGTTTATTAGGGTAGGCAAAATTGTTGAGTTATTAAAGGTGTTTGCCCTACAAGCCTGAGGATCTGAGTGTGCTGTAGAACCCGTGTGCAGTTAAGACAGGGAACACCAGCCCCACAGGAGTCCTCTGACCTCCACACCCACAAACACAGAAGATACTGATACAAATACAATAAAAATAGTAATAAAATTTTAAAAATTCATTTGTTTACTATATGTTTAAATTCAAGGAAGACTTTAAGGTAGTGCCTGTGATTTATGTGTGATCACTGTTGTATTAAATTGCAGTAGCATTTCTGGTATATGAATAGCAGCAGAGTCTCCTGCATGGTGCTTTTATGTTATCCTCCCTCTCACAGCCAGATTGCTTGCAGCACCAGATCTGCATGCAGCAAGATCCAGACCAACACTGAGTCTCTCAGTCTCCTGTCCTGACCACTTAGATAAACTCAATCCAGTTTAATATTGATACTTCTGAATATTTGGAATTATTTATACTACTTATAAGTCAATTATTAAAAGAAGTGATGCAAATCTGACCTAAAGTTGCCGTTTCCGAGGTGCGCGGTGCTCGGGCCTCCCGCAGGGGCTGAGAGAACTCGTGTCACTGCTTTTCTTTCCTGTAAATGATTTCCACATGGCTTTGCATGGTGACTTAACATCAAATCGCTGGAGATATTATGATGTCTGTATTTACACTTAAATACATTTATGGAACAAATTGTCTTGCTTTAAGGATGCCTAATTTGAATTCATGTGAAGAAATGTAGCTAAAAAATATTTTTATTTTCCCAGGTACTATGTTAAGTAGAAGATTATGTTTGAATATATACATTTTGCTTTGGTAACCTGTATCTGAAAGTAGTATCTAGATTGTTCCCTAACATTTTACCTTAACTATCATGTTGATATCTGTTTTATAGATTCAAGTTTTCTTTCAGTTTGGGAAAATGTTTTGAGTTTTTGAAAGAAGAAAACATTAATTTTGAGAGTATTTGATCAGACCTTTCAGTAAGAGAATGGGGCTGTCTGGAAACTGCAGCCTCATTATATTGCACATGGTCCGCATCTCGCAGCACTCAGGAGGCAGAGGCAGGCGGAGCTCTGTGAGTTCGAGGCCAGCCTGGTCTACAGAGCGAGTTCCAGGACAGCTAAGACTGTTAAACAGTGAAACCCTGTCTCGAAAGAAAAAAAAAAGTAAACTGTTGGGAAATATAGACAGTAGAAACATCCCTGCTGGCCCCCTTTGCCACCTCACAGTCAGTAGATCCTTTATGCTGACTGACTCAGGAAATACGGAAATCAGTATGCAGGGTGTGTCCGTGAGACAAGATGGGATTGTAGAGTTACCAAAGCAACGTCATGGTTTAGTTGAGCTGGCAAATTTAGTAGATAATAAAAAGAAATACATTAAAAAGCTATATAAATGCAGTTAGCTACCAAATAAATAATGCATTTTTATTGTAACTGAAAAGGCTTGGCCTGTAGGCCTGAATAACTTGGGACAGCTCTGGGTAACTGGAGTTAGAAGAGAATTCCTGTTGTACAAACGAGGAACGAGTTTTGCTTTAAAACATGTAGATACAGTGACTTCAGATGGATAGCAGTGTGTTTTTACAGTGCTGTGTTCTAGTTTTCTGTGTCTAGATGTTGACAGTTCACTAGTTAGCATTTGCCGGTAGTTTCCCAAGATGAGGACATATAAAGATGAAGACGATGATCAGCGGGTTAATTCTGTGTGGAGGTTTGTGGCCCGGAGGTCATTACAGAAGTAGTAACATCCATGAGAGCAGGTCAGTGCTTTGTGCCCATCCAGCTGTTGCTGAGCCTGTCTGGTTTCTTGTAGGTGCTGAGGGTCTCAATGGCGGAGAGGACTCTCTAAACGTGAACGATGCAGACGAGGGCTTCTCATCCGGGGCTTCCCTCAGCAGCCAGCTACATGGGACCAAAGCGTCGTCCTCGTCTCAGAGGGGAGGAAGCTTACGGAAAGTAGCCACTGGGCGATCCTCCAAAGATAAGGAAACCGAGTCTGCCGGCAAGTCCAGCGAGAGCCCTCGCGATTCAGTAGTTCGCAGGCAGTTTGTACAGCCAGCCGATCTTAGTTTAGATTCAGTGGAGCTGACACCGATGAAGAAACACCTGAGCCTGCCTGCCGGCCAGGTGGTGCCAAAAACCAATAGCTTAAGTCTAATTCGGACAGCCAGCGCTTCCTCGAGTAAATCGTTTGACTATGTAAACGGCAGTCAAGCCGGTACCAGCGTCGGGGTCGGCACTGAGGGGGTGACTAACCTGGCAGCCACAAATGCCAATCGATACTCAGCCATCAGCCTCCAGGAAGACCGGCTAGGGCATGCTGGTGAAGGCAAAGAGCTCCTCAGCCCAGGAGCCCCCCTAACAAAGCAGTCTCGATCCCCGAGTTTCAATATGCAGCTGATATCCCAGGTGTAGTTCTGATGCCCCCCATCCGCTTACCTTTCAAACGGAACATTTCATTGTGCAGGACCCTCCACCCCACATTGTGATTTAGCCTAGGCATCTTCATACTGTGTTTTGTATGGAAACAGCAATAAGGTTTTCTCTCCCCTTTCATTTCCTCCACCTATTCCTTGCAAATGTGTTTGTGAAGCTGTGTAAGATGTTTGCCTTTTCGACGCCTTCCTTTCTCCTTGGGTAACGTGCAATCCGTCGTAGGCTGATCGGGACTGAGGGGGTGGTAGAGGAAATGGTGTATGATCCCTATGAAGTGATCCTTCGGCTTTTGTTTAAAAACAAAACGGGTTTGTTCACATAATCTATGGAACTATGAAGATAACTGGATCATATTTTTTTTTCTCTCTTAACCAGGAGTGCCTCAGAGATTCTGCTATGACTTCGGACTTCTCTGAGTCTGTGCAATGTTCTAGTCTTGAGAAGCACGGGGAAGGCGGTAGACTACTGCGGTGTTTCATTAAAACGAGGCTAGCTGCCCCCTTTCCTCGATCCCAAGATCATAAACGTTTAGTTATTGAGGCATTTAGTCAGCTTGTGAGCACCTCCACCGGAGGGGAGGCTCTGAGTTGATTGTGTAATTAATAATGCACTTTCTCAATGGCTCTGTAGTCATCAACAACATGTCTTCCCTCTTCCCACAAGGACTTAGGGACATTTCTGCCCTTAAAGTTTGAACTAGCCAATCAGAGACTCCAAGGGGCATGTTCTATTTCCTGGGAATGATTGACACTTTGGTGCTGGGGTTTCGTGGGGGGGAAGGGTGCTTTGTTTGGTTTGCGTGAGAGTGTATGTGAGGTGAGGTTGTAACTGTTTCCTTCTCTTCCTGTGTGAGCTGATGATGACTGAAGTAGGAACCGTGCGTCTTCAGGTAAAGAGGGGGATTTCTCGGTCCACTTTCTGTGACGTCAGGCTGTCGGAGAATCCCTTTCAGCTGCTTCCCAGATGTACCTAAATTCAGTCAGATAGTGGATGATAAAGAAGCCTAAAGTCCTGAGATCGTATGCTCCGAGGACATACATCAGGGACAGATAACTGGTTGAAAACACTGATGCTTCAATGTGACACATTTTTATAGAACATTTCTACCAGAGGGTACTGACTTGATTTCTCCACAAGGACCACACTGCCTTTGTGTTTAATGCAATTTGTGTATCTTCTGATTATCTGCAAAGTTTCTCGTTTTTATAAAACTTTGAAATCATGCCAGTAAGCTCGATGTTGAATGTATGTAAGTAGCATTTGGTGACTGCTAAGAGGCTACAAAAATGCATTATTGGTTCAATTCTTTTGTTGTGATTTGGTTGGGAAAGACTTTCTTATAATCTCTTCTGGGTCTCAGGCTTTGTTTGAAAAAGAAGGGAATGTACTGGGATTTTGAAAATCAGTATTGTGTCTTCAACTGCTGTCCATCTATCTCAAAACCATGAGTTACACACACCCTTATACATGTAGACATTTTATGTATTATTGTGAAAGAAAAATATACTGCCTTTATTGAAACAAGTGTTCTCTTAATTGACAGAGTTGTTTTATCTCTGTTTACGGTGGAATTTGATAAATTAACCAGGAAAACGCCTCTCTTTTTTTTCCACACGTAAACCACCACGACTTTTGGAAGAGTCGTCTGTCTGTCTGTCCAGGGGGCCTCGTGTTAGACTATCCCCGATTGGATCTGATGGTCTACCAAATGGAAAACTAGAGCCTCAGTGGTTACTCACATCATTGCCATGATTTATTGGTTTTTACGATACGATGTGATGTGATGTGCGGCTGTCACAGACACATTTCAGTCCCGCTTCTACTCATTTCACTGGTGTTGTGTAAACTAGAAAATTATAAAGCAGTAGAAACTGGAGCAGTAAATTTTTCCTAATATGCTAAACAGACGAGGTTTCTAGTGCATGAAGGAAGGTGTCCGTCACGGTCCGGCAGCGCGCGTGTCGGAGGTGTCGGTCACGGTACGGCAGCACGCGTGTCGGAGGTGTCGGAGGTCATGGTACGGCAGCGCGCGTGTCGGAGGTGTCGGAGGTCACGGTACGGCAGCACGCGTGTCGGAGGTGTCGGAGGTCACGGTACGGCAGCACGCGTGTCGGAGGTGTCGGCCACAGTACGGCAGCACACATGTCGGAGGTGTAGGTCACGGTACGGCAGCACACATGTGGAAGGTGTCGGCCACAGTACGGCAGCACGCATGTCGGAGGTGTAGGTCAGAGTACGGCAGCACGCATGTCGGAGGTGTAGGTCACGGTACGGCAGCACGCACCTGGTCATGTAAGAGGCTGGTGGGCCCAAGTGCACATACGTTGGCATCTAAATCAAGCATTTTAATTAAAGCACAAAAGAATACCAAAAAATTTGAAATCATAGCATAAATAGTAAATACAAGAAAATATCTTTTAATTAGAAATATTATAACTGTAATGTTGGTTTTAAGATATTTTCCGAATGTGTGGTGGCACGTGCCCTTAGTCCCAGCCCTCTGAGTTCAAGGTCACCCTGGTCTAGGGAGTGAGTTCCAGGACAGCCAGGGCTACACAGAGAAACCCTGTCATGCAAAACCAAAAGGAAAAAAAAATAGTTCATCTTACGAGACTTTCATTTATTGCTATGTATATTTTACATATACATATATGTGACCCTGTAACATTTGAATCCTGTCCTTTGAGCTGTGATTTGGTCTCAGTAAAGAATTCCTCATTTACACTTTATAGCCATGGTCTTAGGTAATAGTTCAAATGAAATAAGTTTTCTAAGACTCTAACTGCTGTGCTTCCAGCATCTGATTTAAAATGGTTTTTGTTCAGTTATACAGCACCTGTTATACGTCAGCCAGAAGTGCCCATTCTTTAACAACCTCCCTTTGCTGCTTCCCGGCTTCCACGAAGCTTCGTCCCACTAAGAGAAAAAAAGGTCGGAGCCATCTGCGCCAGGTCAGATTACAGAGTTGAGCACCTGAAGGTTTGGGAGTTCTTCTGTGTGACTTTACATTAATGTTACTAATAAGAAAACTAAAATGTACAGCAGAAAGTAACTTAGAAGTAAGGCTTTAAAATATGAAGATATATTAAGAAGCCAGGAGGTAATAGCTGCCCTCTAAAGTCTTGTTCCTTTCCGAACACCCTCCGGTTTCCAGCTTGCTGTTCGGTGCCTTCTAGTGCAGATCAGAATTGCTGTGTTAGGAGAAACCCGGGGGGTGACCTAGCTGCTCTCTCTGCCATACACACACCTTCACCGTCGGGAAACTGAGGCACACAGAGGCTGTGAAGTAAGGTCCATAGCTAAGAAGCAGAGCCATACTCAAACCTTGTCCCTGGTCAACAGCATAGCCACACCCCAATGCCTCTTGTTACCCAACTTGGTAAATGTATATGCGGATACTTTTCCGTTTCTGCAATTCCTCAGTTTCTGGCCTAGCAGTTGGCGAACACATTAAGGAAAGTATTAATTCCAGGAAAGAATATAAAATAACATAGATGGGGATGTAGTGCTCAAACGTAGACACCTGTGCAGCACGTCATTCTCTTCTGATTTATGCCTTACGAGTTCTCTGCCACACAGCAGTTACATGCTGCCATGTTATTTGTATTTGTGGGGATTTGTTTGTTATAAAATAAACCCAACGGGATGACATTGATCAGTGTTGTAACGGTTTGAAAGTGAGTTTGAATCAGCCCGTTTTCAGTCACCAAGGACACACTCTGGAGGGAAGCAAAGCAAAGAGAAACTCGATCCCATTCGGTCCTAAGCCGAAGAGATGCTGTTCCTTACTGTGCTTATAATTCCATGAGCAGTGGCCTCTGTCACTAATAACATAAACTGTATGAAAGCAGCCCTGTGCAACCTCAGTGTCTGCAACCTGAAGTCTAAATTCCATTCAGTAACTTTAAGCTTCCTGGATTTATCAGACGCCAGGATACTGAGAACTTCTCCAGGTTGCTTTTGTTTGCACTGTTTCGGTAAGCACCCTAATGCAGAGGTGTGTCTTCCCCACCTTGTTTCATGCGGTTTCTTTGGTCCATTTTTGAGGACTTCAGTTGTTGATAACCGACGGTCTCATCTAATTCACCGCGTGTTCATAAATAAAAATACTAGTTTTTGTTTTTATGGGTAGGGTAGCACACTGTAAAACACTGAGAAGGAGGATCACTCCATTTCTGAACTTGGATTATATTATAAAGGGGTTTCTTAACCAAAAAGCTTAGTATTTCAATTATATATTGTTTTTCCATTTAAAAAGAATAGAATGTCATACTGGTGATTAGAAACTGCACAGGACTCTCCGAGCGGCTTTTCTGCACTGGGGTTATACGATGCCATTGGAGCAAGAGGCTCTTCTCTTTTGAGCTGAATGCACACTGTCGTTCCATCAGCAAGTTGGGTGAGACACTTTATTTGAAATATTTTAATTTTCTTAAAGTGGTTTGCAAGAATAAGTGATTTGAAACCAGCAATTGACAGCTTAACCTCTTAAAAATAGAGTATTTGCCAGATTGAATAAACATGAAATACAGTGTAAAATAATATTAATAAATCCTGAGTTATCAGATTGGTACAATTTCCCATGCTAATGTGGTGAGACAACCTTTAGTATCGTTTGTGCTGTGTGAATCTAACAGATAGCATCACCTTGGTACTGAACTGCAGAGAACCTACTGGTCATGGAGGAAGAACAGCCCCGCCTCCTTGTCTTACCCTGACCACACAACACAAAGTCTTGTATTTTTGTAACATTAGACATTTGTCCTATGAGAAGTATATACAAGACCAAATTCAGGATACAGTTTTGCAGAAATGTAGGAGGACATGAAGTGACGGGCAGAAATGAGAGTAGCAGTTCAGAAATGAGAGTTCCTACGTGGGTTTTGCTACTGAAGTGAAGAAGATGGGTTCGTGATGTTTACAGACTGAGGCATACTCATATGTCTGATATCATATTACTACATTTAATAGGGTTTACCAAAAAAGTAGACTCAAGTATATCATAAGGTATAAATGAGTCTGTTTTAAAAATTGTGTACCTGGGGCGCTGGAGAGATGGCTCAGAGGGTAAGAGCATTGCCCGCTCTTCCAAAGATCCTGAGTTCAATTCCCAGCAACCACATGGTGGCTCACAACCATCTGTAATGAGGTCTGGTGCCCTCTTCTGGCCTGCAGGCATACACACAGACAGAATATTATATACATAATAAATAAATAAATAAATATTTTTTAAAAATTGTGTACCTGGAGGTAGGCTAATAGATCTTTGTATTGCACCTAATTGGATGATCTGTCCCCATCCACAGAGTGGCTATGTGGCTTGCTATATTCGAGTGTCACAGTTCCGTGTTGGTCTTATCAGGAGATGTTTTTATGTCTACATCAGTTACAAAATTTACCAAAGAAAATGCTACCAAAATTATTTTCAGAATGTCTATTAAGTAACATAGTTCCTTTAATGCAATTGCTTTCTAACACCAAAGGGAACAAGTAATACATGATTTGAACTGGGAGACACAAATATAGTAACAGATGTACAGGATTCTGTTTATCCTTACATCAGTAAGATGTCAGTGCTCCAATAACAGTACCAATCAGAGAATAACTTGTATTCCTTATGACATATTTTATTAAAATTAAGGATTTGACTTGTCAGTTTTATTATGGATTGTTTAGGTGAATTATAGGGAAACTTATATTATAGGAAGGGTGCTCCTGAGTGGGCAGAGGCATTTGTTTCTGGTGTTATTATTAGCTGAACTAATGATTGATTCACATTGATTTTTGTGCATGTCCACTCTTGCTGCTCTTTTCTTTGTATTGAAAACATAATTGGCTTAAAGGAAGCTAAAACATCTGTAAAATACGTAGGCCAAAAAGATCTAAAGGGTTTAATCTGTGTAATGATTTCTTAAATCATGAAACACAGTTTTTTTGAAAATGCTATTCCAAACAAGTCCTTTTATTATAGTTAATAAATATTGGACTGGGCGTGGTGGCATACACCAGAGGCAGAAGCAGACAGTCCTCTGTGAGTTCAAGGCCAGCCTGGTACTGGTGGTGAATTCCAGAGTAGCCAGGGCTGCGTAATGAAATCCTATCTGAATAAAAACAAACAAGAATGTGTCGCTTCTCAGATTGGCTTTCAGATAATGACCGATAATGGTTTGGGTTTTTAATTATATTATCTAAATAGAATGCAAAGATATGAAAGATGCTCCACGTGATGTTAGCAATGTTTGAAGTCAATGTGTTTACATTGTAGCAATGTTTGAAGTCAGTGCGTTTACATTGTATCTTTAGGTTCTTCTAAAATTAGGCAGGCTTTATTAAATTCTGTTTAAAATTGGCTAAAAGAAACCAATTCTGTTTAAAATTGGCTAAAAGAAACCGTCTTAGCAGTGTGAGGGTTTCATTGCCTTGGCTGTATGTAATGTGACTTCCGTAACAGGCAAACAAAATACCCTGCTTTTATTATTTGTTTCATAAGAGGATATTTAGATCAGCTTCTTGTTGTTGTTTTTAACTAATGTCAATCTGTAGCTTTGTGTAAACTTCCCCAACATTGGTGGGATTCTGCTGCTGAAACTACTGGACAGACATATAAAAAGTATGATCGTTCCTGACGAGTGTCCTTTCAACCTAGGACAAAAAAAAATCTTTTTTCCCCCCAGAGCCGAAGAAAAAAATAAACGCACATCTAAAATCATATGTATTGGTGCATGTGAGCCATTATCCTGTCTGACCGGATAGATTCATGCTGTTGGTTGTTGAACTGTGAAATGTGGTCACTGTTGAACTTGTAAATATCGGCCAGAGTTGAAAAAATATTTTAAGTTATTGTAAATAAAGATGTAAAAAATTCAGTATCAGTCTGCGGTGCAGAAACGTAACATCTCAGATGTTATTGTGTCTCTTGAGGGATGTGTCATGTCTCCCTTGATGTATCTAGCTAAATTGAGAATGTAAATTTTCTTTTGTACAGTGTAAAAATACAGCTCTATTTGGCTTTTAAGTGGATTTCCCTGAGTTGATTTTTATCTTACCGTAGTTTTATAGTTCACCACAGTCCTTCTCGCTGTATTTTAAATGCCCTTTTACTCACGTGTGTGTGAATTTGCTTTATGTGTAGACCAGGCTGACGTAACTCGGGAGACCTACCTACCTCTGCCTCCCATGTGCTGGCATTAAAACCATACACCATCACACCTGCTAGGTATATCTGAATTTTTAATATATATCTTATTAGAGTAAGGCAATACATTAAAGTTATATGACACCAGGAAATGACACAGACAAAAACTGGTGTGGCACACATCTATAACCAGAGATAAACTGTGGTATGGTGCATACATCTGTAATCAGAGATAAACTGTGGTGTGGTGCACACATCTGTAATCAGAGATAAACTGTGGTGTGGTGCACACATCTGTAATCAGAGATAAACTGTGGTGTGGTGCACACATCTATAACCAGAGATAAACTGTGGTGTGGTGGCACACATCTATAACCAGATAAACTGGGAGGCTAAGGCAGGAGGATTGCTGTCAGGTCAGCCTGGGCTATAGAATGAGAAAGTTTCTTTCAAAACCAGGTGAGAGCCAACAAAGAAGCCTCCAAACCTGATGGCCCGAGTCTAACCACTGGGACTCTCATGGTGGAAGTTTTACTGTGACCTCCACACCCATAGACATGATGAATAGTTTTTCAATTGTAAAAGCAGAAGTGAAATTGTTTCAATAAATATATAGGATAACGATACATTTCTGTATGCTAATTGTAAGCACACAAATTTAACACTAAAATAACCAAATGTAAGGAGACCAAAGCTTTAAGATAAAACAGATTATCCAGGCAGTGGTGGCACACACCTTTAATCCCAGCAGAGACAGGCAGATTGAGTTCGAGGCCACCCTGGTCTACAGAGAAAGTTCCAGGACAGCCTGGGCAGTTACACAGAGAAACCCTGTCTCAAAAAAACAAACAAAGCCGGGCAGTGGTGGCTCAGTCTTTAGTCCCAGCATGGGAGGCAGAGGCAGGCAGATCTCTGTGAGTTTGAGGCCAGCCTGGTCTACAAGAGCTAGTTCCAGGACAGGCACCAAAGCTACAGAGAAACCCTGTCTTGAACCCCCCCCCCCAAAAAAAAAACCCAGGTATATACAAATTTAAAGTATCTGAGACTTGTTTTCTTAGTCTGGAAGGAGGTACAATGAACAGAGCTCAATAGGACTGCTTAAAACATTTTTCTTTAGAGTAAGGGCATGGACACAAACACACAGTTGGATTTAAGTTACACACACACACACATGCAGAGCTAAAGCTAGCTTATATTCACACACTTAGGGTTAAATCCAAAGTCACATGCACACACACACACACACACATTAAACAGGAGCTGAGCGAAATATAAAGAAAAGGAAAACCCGTGTGTGTTGACAGAGAGGAAGCTGACTTTTCTATCTCTGACTCACACATGGTAGCAGAGAGAGAGAGGGGGAAAGGGAGAGGGAGGAGAATCAAAGACGCCAGTGAAGGAGAAAGCAGAGCCCTTGCAGGAAGAAGGGAACAGATCTGCTGCAGGTGGAGCGGGCAGATGGGTGGGGTTCCTGCAAGCCAGAAGGGCAGGCGAGAGAGCCAACAGGCAGCAGATGGCAGGCAGGCGGGTGGGTGGGGTCCCTGCGTGAAAGGAATGGCTCAGTGGGCTCTTTCAAGACAGACTCACGCAAACAACGTCACATGCAACAGAGTCAGTGTAAAAGGTTAGAGACCAAGGAAAGACAGTGAACTGGCTCTGCCTAGCGGACATTTTTAAAAACATAGCTAATGGCATAAAGGCGGCTGGTGACAGGTGGTGACATTACTGCCCTGGCAGTGGGGGAGGGGGCAGCTGTTGCAGGTGCTTCTTGCTTAGAGGCAGAGTTGCACAGTCTGCAGCTCCTCCCTGTCCCGGTTGCCACCAAGGGCTGAGTGGCCCAAGGGTGGCTTCTTAGGTTGAACACTCATAGTAAAGATGCCAACTAGGTCACTGGACCTGTCCTATTTTATTCACCCTTAGTCAAGATGGCAGCATTTGTATGGTCACTCTTATAGCAAAGATGGTGTTTAGGCCATCTGCCCTGCCCTTAGCCAAGATGGTGCCTTCCCTGTAATCGATAGACTGAGAGATACTGGGAGAGTTTGGCAGCCAGCCTCCATTTTGCTTTTGTTGTTGTTTTTTGTTGTTGTTGTTTTGTTGTTGTTGATGATGATGATGTTTAAGATTTTGTTGGAGCCCACTCTGACAGGAATCAGCAAGGGGTACCTGGGAGGTGGCGTGAGATTATAGGAAATGGCAGATTAAGAGAAATGAAGACAGAAACATAGGACAAACCGGGAGGACTGAAGAGAATACCAAACAGCCCCGAGTTTATTTCTCAGCCATCATATATACTAATTACAGGCAAAAGGCAGAACAAAGGGACTTAAAGTCAGCTAACCCCTTCCCTACACTGTCCTAGGGAGGAAGCTCAAGCCGGTGCCTTACTTATCTCATCTCATCCAGCTAAGCAGCTTCTCATCTCTAGTGAGGAGTGCCTCATGGTGTATGCCAGCCCAAATCTTAATAGAAAAATGTGCTCTTTCATCTGGACAAAAATGTTCTTTTTGTGGACTGACACAGACGTTCCTCACAGCCCTCAAGGTTACTGGAAAAAGCAGAGCAGGCAAACTTGAACTCAAATGATTTCTTGAAGTCAGAATGGACTCCAGATGGGAACTGAGTCCACACGTGGACTCCCACAAGATTTATTTTATGTATACAAGTGCTCTGCCTGCCCTGAAGAGGGCAGGCATCCCATCTCACTACAGATCCCATCATAGTGAGCCACTATGATGTAGCTGCTGGAAATTGAACTTGGAACCTTTGGAATAGCTCCCAGTGGTGTTAATTTCTTAGCCATCTCTCGGGTTCCTTTTGGTTTTGTTTGTTTTTTTGTTTGTTTTGGTGCCCTCCCCTGCAGGGTTTCTCTGTGTAACTGTCCTAGCTGTCCCGGAATTCACTCTGTAGACCAGGCTGGCCTCAGTCAGACATACTGAGATCCACCTGCCTCTGCCTCCTGAGTGGGGATCAAAGGTGAGCACCACCCCACCCCTACCAGCCTCCACTTTGCTATGTTAAAAAGGTGCTGCAGCCTTTTCTCCCAGGGTTTGAAGCTCAACGCTTTACCCACCTGTTTTCACTATTCCTGGGAAATTTCTGCTCGCTCTTTCGACTTATTCAGGATGTAGGTTTCAGTTTAAAGGGAACTTTAAACTTTCCTTTAATGAAAGTGTTCCTGATTCCTTTGGGCCTTTTAATTAGAGACTCCTGTGCTCCAGTGTTAAGGACATAACTTGTAACTGAGAAACCCTTTTGTGTGACTTGGAAAAACATAATGCCTGTGAGACAGACGTTTGCCACCTGAGAGCTCTGATAAGAGCGAGAATCAGGCCACTTAGCAGGCCAGCTACTAACCTAGCCAAGGATGGGCCTTGATATGATTAAAAAATAACAAAAACCCAACTAACCCTAAGGTGCTTTGAAATGATAGCAACCAGCCACAAGTTGTGAGTCCTGGTGCCCCAAAGCCCAAGCCCTGTGAAATGATACAAAGATTGAAACTTTGTGAGCATTCTTTAGGACCACACTGCCATGTTCCCTAGACACCTAGTCTCATTTCTAGCCTGTGTGTTGATACCCCCATCACCAAAAGGACTTGAGACTGCATTGCCCTGGCCTCAGAGATGATTGGACTTACGGCACTGTCTCTGGGCCCTACAGTCCTGCCTGTCATTGCCAGCCCTTGGCCTCTGCTCTCAATGGCTTCCAGAATCATCACCAGTGTCCAGTGTCAGCTTCCTAGCCTGCAAGCCTCCAGGGCCTCCTTACTGGAGAACATTTCCCAGTGGAACCAGCGTCAGCATCTCTGTCCAAACTGTTCCCAGCTTGGAGAGATGTCCGCTTAATTTTTATAGTAACATGACGTCATGAGGAATGTCTGTGTGGATGGGTGGTAGTGATGCTTTCCTTTAACCCCGGCAAGCAAAGGTAGGTGGGTCTTCGAGTTCAATGACAGCCTGGTCCATGGAGAGAGTTCTGGGACAGCCACGGCTACACTGTGAAACACTGTCTTGGAAAAAAACAAACAAACAAACAAAAATAGATATATAAAGTTTGGGTGAATAAACCAAACGAATCTGAAAGAGAAGTCTTGTGCAGACATATGTTCACAGAAGCCAAAATAAACAGTTAGTTAATGATCTCCCAAAAGTTACACATTTCTGGGCAAAGGCAAAGGGTTTTTTAGTGGTCAGCATTTCCTGGACTAGCTTATTTTTTTGTATGGTTTATTTATTTATTGTGTAGAGTGTTCTGTCTGCATGTCTGCTGCAGGCCAGAAGAGGGCATCAAACTTCATTACAGATGGTTGTGAGCCACCACGTGGTTGCGAATTGAACTCAGGACCTTTAAGGAGGGCAAGTGGTGCTCTTAACCACTGAGCCATCTCTCCAGCCCTTCCTGGACGAGTTTAAAAGGCTTAACCTGGGACTGACTTAACAAACTCAAGCTGGTGACAGCCATGGTAACTTTGTACAAAATGGAGTTACTTCCGTAGCTACCATCCTAATTTAGTTGCTACGATTTTAATTTAAGCACCTTACAGCTCATAGGCCGATGCGCTCCATAGTTAGTAAGCACTCCCGCTGCCTTATTGTGGCCCTTTCTCCATACTGTCGGGCCAGTATCTTCCCATTCTGAGGACGGAGGGACCTTTTATCTACCCAAGTATTGTATCCTTACTGCTGGGTACTAAGTGTGCTTTGTTTGAAATCACAGTCCTGTTAGTGAACAAATACTGTTATGTATCCCAGCCAGGCTTTTCTTTTCCTTTTCTCTGTATAAGCTACCCCCCCTCCCCTTTCCACCTTGTCCCTTCATTTCTTTTTCTTTCTTGCTTTGTTTTTGTTTTGGGAGACAGGGTTTCTCTGTGTAACAGTCCTGGTTGTCCTGGAACTAGCTCTGTAGACCAGGCTGGCCTCGAACTCACGGAGATCCTCCTGCCTCTGCCTCCCGAGTGCAGGGATTAAAGGCGTGCGCCACCACCGTCCCGCTTCGTCTCTTCGTCTCTTCGTATCACTTATTGTAGGATCCTATCTTCATATTCAGGTTCTGGCTCCTCCATCCCGCAACCCTTGAGATCCCTTTGCTTCGAGGCTGGAAAGACGGCTCAGCAGTTAAGAGCAATGGTTGTTCCAGTTCCCAGCTTCCACAGATACAACTGTCTGTAACTCCAGTTCCAGGGGATCTGACACCCTCACAGCAATGCACATAAAATAAAATTAAATAAAAAGCATGTTGTTCTTTAAGCGAATTCGTTTTCATTATCTTTTCCCCCACGGTGGCTGGGCTAACAACAACATGAAGATTGCCAGAAAACAATGACGCCATCGCGACCATAACCCAAAACTTCCAAGCACCGACCCCACGCTCCAGTCCCTCCCCCGGAAACGGAAACGGAAGAGACGAGGAAATCCCGGAACCCAGTTTTTGGGGGATCTGCTTTCCGGCGGAGCGGGGACCCCCTGGCTCGCGTCAACGGGCCCGCGGAGCCGTCGCTCTTGCCGCTTCGGCTCCTGATTGGTCGCCGAGGCGCCGCCAGGGGGCGGGGCCGGAGACTCGGCGTGCGGCGCGCTGCTCGCGTCCTGCCGGCTCCCGTGTCCGGCTCGCGCCGCTCGGAGCTCCTCGGAGAAGTCGGTCCCGGTCGGCGGTGCTCGGGGCGGCGGGAGTCCTGCCTGGCGGGGCGTGGAGGCTTCACGGCCGACGTCCTTCCCGTCCTCCTTCCCGCCGGCTCCGGACACCTGAGGTGAGTCCTGGTGCGGCCCCGCTGCAGCTGCGGCTCGCTGCGCGCTCCCTCAGGGCACCCGGCAGGCAGGGCCGCCGGCCTCGGTGCTCGCCCGCCGCGGAGGGCGATGCTGGGAGATGCTGGGCGACGCTGGGTGATGCTGGACGATTCTGGGTGATGCTGGTCGATTCTGGGTGATGCTGGGCGACGCTGGGTGATGCTGGGCGATGCTGGGTGATGCTGGGCGACCTGGGTGATGCTGGACGATGCTGGTTGACTCTGGGTGATGCTGGGCGATTCTGGGGGGATGCCGGGCGATTCTGGGCTACGCTGGGCGATTCTGAGTGATATTGGGCGATGCTGGGGACGCAGCCTCTCCGGTGCCTCTCCCGTGGGCGACGCTGGGCGAATCCGGGGGCGCAGCCTCTCCGGTGCCTCCCCCGTGAGAGGCGCCGTCTGCGGAAGCCACGCGTCGGTCTGTCCCGTGGCGAGAGGTCTGCACGCAGTCTGCCGGCTTCCCGGTAGAGAATGATCAGGAGCCAGAACGCCGGTAGGAGAGGGAACTGCGAGGGATGTGGCCCGAGGGGTCGCGGGTCGGGAAGGCTGCTGAAGGCTGTGCTGTCATCCCTGCTGGGTGCCCTATTGCTGCGGTCTCCCCGGGATAGTGCCTGGTTGTAAATGTGTTTACTCCCAGAGGGAAGCGCGTTGCTGCGGACGCTTGGCGTTGCTGGGTTGCCTGTTGACCGTGAACTGACCCTTTAACACCGAAACGCTCGCTGTTTCGGATATTTGTATTTCATTGGTTGGTTGTGGGGGTGTGGTGTGTCCAGAGTGTGTATGTGGAGGGCAGAGGTTAACGTTAATTTTAGGTATCTCTCCCGATTGCTCTCCATGATGTTTACTGAAGCTGGAGCTCTCACTGAAAACCGGGCCTTGCTGGTTTGGCTAGCCCAGCTAGCCAGCTTGCCAGCTTGCCTCAGGAATCCCATTTCTCCGCCCTCCCCAGTTCTGAGCGCCCGCTCAACTTTTAAATGGCTGTAAGGACCTCAGTTCCCATTCTGACACTCGTGGGACAAATGCTTTATTCAGTGAGCCATCTTTTCAGCCTCCCCCATTCGTATTTTGTGTATTTGTTAGATAGTGTTTTATCGGACATTGTTGGAAAGTTCTCTCATGGGGTCTTGGTAGAAATTTCAATGGGGTGATTTCGTTCATGCTACAGAAAATATCTTAAACTCAAAAATAGATATTGTCGTGCACTGCGGCCCCGTCTGCGCTCTATGCGCTAGAACCCAGTTCGCGAGCTTCGGGCAAGGGGCTGGAGGTTGAGAATACGCACGCAGAGACAGTCCGACACAGACCTTCCAACACTGGTACCAAAAAGCCCTTCTTTAATAGCACCTTGGAGGCTTAAATACCCTGCAGTCAATGGCCAACAGGTGCAAATTCCATCCTCTGATCCTCTAGGCAAAACACAGCTTTTAGTCACTTCAATTAGAAGGCTCTAGACAGGGAAGAGCAGTCGAAGGCCAGGACTTAATTGGTCCCAAAAGGATATGTTGTATAAATAAATGCATTTTGATACAAACGGGACTTTGCAGGCATATCCAGCCCTTCTGACATTTAGATACAACGTTGCCAAAGGCAGGTACTTCCGACCTTTTTTGACATTTGGATACAATGTTGCTGTCATCCACATAGTTCATGGCTGAGAACATCATAATCCAGTTACCCCCCCCCCCAAAAAAAAAAAGAAAAGAAAAAGAAAGAAAGAAAGAAAACTTGCAAAAAGAACTCAGTGTTTATGTTCACAGTTTTGTGTTGGGCAGCATTCATGGCTGTCCTTGACCACATGGGCCCTCTCACCTAGGAGATGATTAAAATACTAGAGCTGGGTATGGTGGCTGCCATCCCACTGCTGTTGAAGCTGAGGTAACCGAGTCGTAAATTCAAAGCCAGCTTGTATTATAAAGTGAGACATCACAGGAAGTAGATTAAGGGACTAAGGATGTAGTATGATTGGAGCTCTTGGCTTAGCCTGCTGGAAGCCCTGGTCTCCGTCCACAGCATAGTCTAAGCCAGACGTGGTGACGCCTGCCTTTGGGAGGTAGAAGCTGCATCAGAAGTTCAAGGTTATCTTTGGTTGGAGGCCAGTCTGGAATTCACGAGATCATTGTTTCTTACACACACACACACACACACACACACACACACACACACACACACACATACACACACGCTAAAAATAAGATGCAATAGGTATTAGAGAGACGGCTCAGTTGGTAAAGTGCTTGTCTTGGAAGCACAAGGACCTGAGTTCAGTCCCTAAAACCCATGGTATTTAACAGCAGCAGCAGCAGCAACAAACCCAAAAGATTTGATAGCCTGGGAGCTTGCAGTCCTACAGTTGGGTCAGCAGAGCCAGGTGGGTTCCCGGAGTTACTGGCCAACCAGCCTGCTCTACCAGCTTCTGCTCTCAAAGGAATAGCTCAGGGAATATGACGTCAGAGGTGGTCTTCTGACCTCCCCCTACACAGACACAGCGAACTACCACAGGGAAATCACCTGTCATAATATTTAGTTACCTAGATTATTTTTGAAGATTCACTCCCAGGAATTATTTAGCTTTGCTAAATAATGAAAATCGTGTCCCAGTCTTCTCCACTCCGCTCCCTTTCTCCCCGCTCATTGCCCTGAAGTCCAGAACCACATGTCTTGTTTTATGGTGACATGCTATGGAAAGTTTTCAGAGAGCATAACAAGCAAGTCAGAGTAAGATTTTTAAAATATTTATTTATTTATTTTTTGAGACAGGGTTTTCTGTGTAGCTTTGGAGCCTGTCCTGGAACTAGCTCTTGTAGACCAGGCTGGCCACGAACTCACAGAGATCCACTTGCCTCTGTCTCCTGAGTGCTGGGATTAAAGGTGTAAGCCATTACTACCTGACTTAGAGTAAAATTTTTATTCAGTGACAGGAAATGCTTTCCAAGGTAAATGAGAAAGGAACAAGCTATCTAATTAGGTGATCAGGAATTTAGGAATCAGTCAAAATTGATTTCTAATTGTGTGAATTATAAAAAAGAATGTACTGTTTAGCTGACAGCTTATTTATAAAGTAGAGTAATTGAACACATGCACAGATAATGTACTTGACTCTGTTTCTGCTGTATCTAAAGGTACCTGATACAGTATCTCAAACTTAGTCCCTACAAAAAACAAAGAAACCTTTTCATTCAAGTATAAATTATTAGTTTCTTCATACAGATACTGTATAGATGCATTACACATTTTGTTTACTATCCTCGGAGTCTAGACTAGAAAGCAGCATTATGACTATAAAATGACCCAAGAAGGACGTACTTTCCTAGATGTGGCTCTGACTCTATGGGTGGAATATTTTTCTCCACAAAGTGTAAAGCTCTGAGGGTTAAATTAGAATAATTGTAAAGAGCTGGGCTTGGAGGCATTTGTTTATGATTTCAGCACTTGAGAGGCAGAGCGGAGAATTCTGAGTTCAAGGCTAGCCTTGGCTATGTAAGAAGCCCTTGTCTCACTACAAGAGAAAAAGTGGTGGAAAGTCTGTGTAACTCAGAAAGTGCTCTCCTTCCTCCTCTGACTCCCGTCTTGCCAGTCTAATGCTTTTCTCAGTCTCGGTTTCTTCAGCCAATTACTATTTTGTCCTCTCTGTGCCACTGTAGCAGCATTAGCTTTGGGGGTGTGGCTACCCGGGTTGCTTTCCTTTACCTGCTAGCTGATCTTGACTGACTTCTAGTTACAGGTGACTGAATTTTCAAGCTGCAGAATGCATAGCACCTTACAAGGTAAATGAAAAAGCTACTTAATTGTGCTGGTTATTAAGCAAAATTTTGCAACATTTAGCTATCTGTGTAATAAGTAAGTTGCGTGAGAGAGACAGTCCTTAGTTTTTTGCTGTTTGTTGGTTTGGTTTTTTTTTTTTTGGTCAGAAGAAAAGGCAGAAATGGGGTTCCTGCTAGTGTGTCCTAGTATGCCCCTCTGCTGCTGGGAGAGAAGGGGCTTGGCCTCTGTGTCCCAGTCACAAGCCACCACTGAGGGACATTGTAGGCAATGTTTTTTACCCATTCCCCACCGGTCACCAGTCCCAAATAACGGATGCAGAGGCTTAATACTACTTATACACGATCGGCAGGTAGCTCAGACTTGTTACTCCGTAACTCTTACGTTTACATCAACTGTATTTTTATCCATGCTTTGCCACATGGCCCATGGCTTGCTACCTCATTTTCTAGTGTGGCTGGCTGGCCTCTCCCCGACTCTGCCCTTTTCTTAGTCCATAATTTTCAGTTTGGCTTTCCCGCCTACCTCTGTCCTGTTGAGCCCTGGGCCAGCCAGTTTGTTTATTAAATGCTCACAGTGACAAGTCTTCACTGTGTGCAAGAGAATTATTCCACCATAGGACGTACGCGCGGAAGAATGCATGGTACGTGCCCCCCTTTAAAAATGCTAGGTAATTCTGTGTGTTCATTCCACGATGTTTATTTGGTATGAATTCTTCATCACACTGACTTATACTTTGTTTAGGTTGGCCATGATGAGCTCCCCACATATGAAGGAAGCTAAAGTGCCGGTTGTTCAATTTGTGGGCGATGATGATGTCCTCAATCACATTTTCGATAGAGAAGGAGGTATGTGTGGTTGCACACTTGAAGACATGCTCGTGGATCACATCTTTGTTGTTTGGGGTTTTTTGGTTTTTTTTTTTTTTTTTTTTTTGGTTTTGGTTTTTTGAGATGGTCTCTCTGTCTGTCCTGGACCTCACGTTGTAGACCAGACTGGCTTCGCCTCTGCCTCTGACTCCCGAGTGCTGGGATTAAAGGCATGTGCCACCACTGCCCAGCTGACTTCGCACGTTTAAGGGAAGATAAAACAGTAACTTCCCCAGAGGCCTTATATACTACTAATTGTGCATTTGGTATAGTTTGTCTGCTGACATATGTAGCATACACATGGTGACATGTAGCAGACAATGGTGACGTTGTAGCACACACGTGATGACATGTAGCATGCACGTGGTGACATGTAGCATACACGTGATGTGTGTAGCACGCACATGATGACATATGTAGCATACGTGTGGTGACATGTAACATACACATGGTGGTCAGAGGACAGTGCTCTGGACATGGATCTCTTTTCCCCTGTGCGTTCCATCAGGCTGGCATGGCGCACTTTTATCTGCTGAGCCGTCTGGGTGACTCTAGTGTAATTCACGCCAGGCAGTGGTGGCACTTGACTTAAATCCCAGAATGCTGCAGGAGGCAGAGGTGTGCAGACCTCTCTGAGTTCAAGGCCAGTCTGGTCTACAGAGAGAGTTCCAGGACACCCAGGGCTGTAAAACCCTGTCTCAAAAAACAAAACAAAACAAGAAAAAAATTCATAACTCTTATATTATATATTTTTATAGGAACTAAAATAAAAAAGGAGAAAGCTCAGCTTTTGGTCAATCCTCAGAAAATAATAAAGAAGCCAGAATGTGAACTGGAGAAGAGTGACCAGGAAGTCCTAAAGGATCAGAACTACGTGGAAGTTTTGGGAAGAAATATTCAAGGTATCCAGCGGGGAACTGCTTTTCAGGATGTACAAAGGCAACTTGGTCTTCTGAGTAGCTGGAAAAACAGGCCTGGAATACCAACTCTATTCTGGATTTTCAAGGAGCCCAAATTTAGTTGAGCTCAGTGAGCCTCTGTCCCTCAGAAGGTTTAGTGAGTATTCCTGACTAAGCAGATGACACTTCTGGGCTGCATTCTTTGTCGAATTTATGACTGCTTGTGTTAGCCTCAGAGACTGAAAACGATACTCAGGGATGGAGAACAAGAGCAAGGTATAATGAGATCTACAGATATCATAATGAGACCATTATTTTATATATTTTTTCCATATAAGAGTACTTCCTGCAGATCATAATATTGGTATATGTCCTGATGATATTTCAGACCAAGGGCAAGGCTTAGCTGCAGGACTCTAACCAATTTCCCCTGCCCCGCACTGGTCCTGACTAGATTGGAGGATCAGTGCCCAATACATGTGACCTTGTCTTTAATTTCTCTGTATTTGGGAAGCTGTCCTCGTTCTTTGTCCATTATCTCCTGTATTTTTTATGTTTTGTTTCTCTCATCTGCTACTTCCCCTTTGCCTGTTTCCTCACAATTGCTCCCAACCATAGCAATGTTGTGTTACTCGTATGCTGTATATCTGCTTTTGTAATGTGATTCTTTCAAGGCCGTAGATTTTGTAATACCAAGGTTTTTTTCACATTTCCCTTGCTAATGCCTCCTTAGCTAGACTGGTGGCACAGAGTTTTAATCCCAGCCGCTGAGGAGCCTGAGCCGGGAGAACCACAAGGCCTGGTTGCACTGCATAATGAGTTCAGGGCCAACCTAGCCTGGGTGGTAAGACGTGTCTCAAAAAAGTAAGAAAGATTTGAGAGTCCAGTTCAGTAATAGAGCACTGTACACCATGCTTGAGGCTCTAGGTTTAATCTCTAGCACAAAAGTAAGTAAATAAATAAACGCTCACTTCACTTCAGAGAAGATGGAACTATTGCAGTGTGTGCTTTCTGTTTGCCATTTGCACATATAAATTTGCATTATTTTGTGTGTCGATATTTTTAAAGATTTATTATTTTTTTAATTGAGTGTTTGTATGTGTGCATGCACCGCTGTAGTGTAGGTGTCCCTAGAAGCCAGCACCATTGGGTCCCTCGGGAAGCTAGGCTTACAGCATGATGTGAGCAGCCCCACGTGGGGTCCTATGTCCTCTTAACCCTTCAGCCACCTCTCCAGCCTCCCAGCTTTTTAGTTATATTTGTTTATATGTGTGTGTCAGAAGGTCAGAGGACAGTGTTGGGCATCTTCCACAACTCCCGCCCACCTTATGTATTTATCCATTCATTTCTGAGCCAGGGTATCTCATGGCCCACGCTGGCTTTGAGCTCACCACAGACAGCAACTCAGGTGAGTCGATTCCTTCCCACGTGTGGGTCCCAGTGATCAGTCAGGTGTTTGGCCCACTGAACCATCTCACTGGCCTGAGTTTTAGAACACAGGGCATCTAACCAAGGATCTTTCATTTCCTCCATGGCCATTTCGACACTTGATATTATGTGGCATAGGCTGGTTTTGAACTACTGACCACCCTGTCTCCTCCCAAGGGCTAGAATTGTCGGTCCATGCCCCCACATTCAGCTCTAACACAGAATCCTTAGGAAGAGTAGGAAAGAAAAAAGTCTATTCTATAAAAACACTTGCTGTGGTTTGTCCCCAGGGGTTTATGCATTAGAAGTGTGGTACCCAAGGTGGTGATGTTGAGCACTGCTGAGGTCTACTAGGAGTTAAGTCACCCGATGCGTGCTGCCTCGGGAGACACAGCGTTAGACTGAACAGTGCTATACTTATCTTTAGAATGAATTAAGACAGTTTCTGAAAGAGCTGGTTCTAAAAACATGAGCGTGCCCCCTGGATCGCTCACAAGCTTCCTGACTTTCTGTGTGACATGCTAGTTCCTTCTCCAGAAAAATGAACACCTTGTATTTATAAAGTTTCTTGCTTTAGAGATTTTATTTTCTTTTTGAAGATTTACTTTATGTATGTGTGTGTGTCCTTGGGCCTGCAGAGGGCATTGGATCCTGATGCAGGTGCTGGGAACTCGGCTCCTCTAGAAGAGGAAGAAGCTCATCTCTCCAGCCCAGGGGTTTTGTTTCCTAGGGTAACAGAAAACTAGTGAAGATAGCCTTACATACATTATCCCCAGGGGTTTTGTTTACTAGGGTAACAGAAAACTAGTGAAGATAGCCTTACATACATTATCAGCCCTTTTCAACTCACAGTTTTACCCTCTTGTTTAGTTTTCATAGTCTATTAATTTCTCCAGTCTGGAAAAAAATCATTGTATCTATAAATAGCATGTTTCTTGTCTTAATGATTAAATAAACAAGATTAGTTGGTCTTCCTTGTTGTGTATATAGAAATATTTTGTACATAAATATCTGTTGGTGAACTTGCTTTTGTTTTTTAAGACAGGGTTTCTTTGTGTAGCTTTGAAGCCTGCCCTGGAACTCACAGATCCGCCTGCCTCTGCCTCCCGAGTGCTGGGATTGAAGGCATGCGCCACCACTGTTCGGCTTCTGCTGGTAAACTTGTATGAAAGGAAGTGAAGGGGTATAACTTTTAGATTTTTAGCTATTTAAAGTTTTATGTTTTTTCTCAATCTTCCTTTTTCCTCATTGCATCTTGCATTTTCTTTTACAGAATCCTTGAAAAATGGCTCTGTTGTACATGGGAATAAAGTTTATTCTTTTCAGTCCAGAAAACATTCTGAAGAAATGACCAAATTAGGTACGTCACTCTTGTGTTTCCTGCGGTCATGGTAGGCCAGCACCACGTTCCCGTGGTTACCTTTTGCTGTATTCCCTGGAAGAATGCTGGGATAAGTGGTCCTTAGAGGACAGAGAGCAAGACATTTCCTTAAAGAATGGTGTGATGTCATGCACCCATAATTCCAGCACTCTGGACATAGAGGCAGGAGGATCACAAGTTCAAAGACATCCTGGGCTGCTCTTACTTAAAAAGAAAGTCATTTCCATAATAACAGTAGAAGTTATTGTTGACCAAGTACTGTATGCCAGGATCCGTGCCGTGTTCCGTATATACATCTATCTATCTGTCTGTCTGTTTACGGGAGCCTATGATGTAAATTAAACCCACAGATACATGGCAGAGCCAGTTTAGATTTCAAAGCCTGGACTGTTCTATTCCTACCCAGTCTCTGTAGAGTTGTGTATAAGCTACGGTTGCTCAAAGTAGAAAGGCATTCTTTGGGGTTGAGTCATGAAAGGGGCAATGCCAGTTTTGAAGAATTGATATAAATTTGTTAAAATTACAGGAGGAAGGGTACTGAATTGAAAACATCCATTCACATTTCTGCAGTCCGGGGATGGATGAGCATGGATTGAAGAATCGAATCTATGGAGACGTTTTAGGGGAGAGATAAGGGAGGGCCTGGATATCAAGCAAGGGTGTATATGTTTTATATTTTATATTCGGATAAGTTGAAAAGTCATGGGAAATTAACGTCAGGAAATTTTAAAAAGAAGTGCTTGTGGAATATCTCAGCTAAATTTTAAGATCAGAAGATCTTGAAAATTCTAACAGCTAGGAAGGGCATATGGGCCAGTAAGATGGCCTAAAATAAATACAGATACACTTTCTCCATTTAAAGAATAAAAGAAATAGGTTGGAGAAGTGGCTCAGGAGATACAAGTGTGTACGGCCTTTGCGGAGGACCCAGGTTGTTTCCGTATGCCCGTCTGGTGACTCACGCCACCTGTAGCTCTGCCGTGGGCGTCTGCACTCACACATGTGTACATGCTTACCTAAGGGTGATGATGGTACATCTGAAAAGGAAGTACGATAAATTCATTCCCTCAGGTAGGCTCGTTCTCCACGTACTTGTCCCCGTGAGAGATAAAGATTGGACAGATGTTTTATTTAAAATGCCACCTAAAATCAACTGTTTCATTTGGTGCTGTAGCAAAGAAGCAGCCATCTGCTCAAGACCATATTATAGTTTATGAATCTTCCACATGTATAGCTTTACATACAAGAGCACCACTCTGCTCAAGATCGTATTATAGTTTATGAATCGTCCATATTTCTGAGTTTTAACTACATCCAGTTTTTACTTGGTTTTTTGATCCAGTTCCTTCCCATGTATCACCTTAGGAGGTCATGACTACACTTTATATAAGAAAAGGAAGGAAAGCCAGACATAGTGCACACCATTAATCCTAGTACTGAGGATGTAGAGGCAGGCCTGTGAGTTCGAGGCCAGCCTGGTCTACAGGGCGAGTTCTGGGGCAGCCAAAGCTGCAAAATGAGACCCTATCTCAAAAAAAGAGAGGAGAACACAGTGAACATGTCAAAGAAGGAGGAGGAGGAATATGATCAGCTGGTACTGAATAGAGCAGTTGTTTCTGTTATGCTATGAGAAATTTCTGCATGATTGGGAGATTTAGATGCTAGGCTAGGAAGGGTTAGACGGCTCATCAGGTAAAAGCACTTGTCATGAAACGTGTCAGGCTGAGTTTGATCTCCAGGACCCATGTTTGCGAAGAGAACACTGCCTTCTCTGACTTGTGCACACTGGGTACATATATCCACACACACACAGATGAGTAAGTGTAATTGTTTTAAAGATAAAAAAGATGCTGGGAGGACAGCTTAAAGCTTTTTTAAAAAGCAGTACTTTTTTTCTTTCTTTTTGTTTGTTTTTTGTTTTTTTGTTCTTTGAGACAGGGTTTCCCTATGTAGCCCTTGCTGTCCTGGAACTCACTCTGTAGACCAGGCTGACCTCAAACTCACAGAGATCCACCTGCCTCTGTCTCCCGAGTGCTGGGATTAAAGGTGTGTGCCACCATCTCCCAGCTATCTACTCTTAACACTTAATACTTAAGAAGAAGATTTACTTCTCTTTATGATAAAGTAACATGCAGGTTTTGTTTAAAGAGCCCCTGTGAGTAAAAGCTCCTTCCCTCTTTATGTGCTATTCAACAAAGGCATTTTCCCCTCTTATTACAGCTTTAGAACTAGCAAAAACGCCAAGAAAAGTTGTTCCGGTTGACTCAAAGAATGATCCTGAAGTTAAGAAGAACGTCCCTCGGCAGAGCAAGGGTAGGACGCTGTCACGTTTCTTTGAAGAGCTTTCAAAGTTGCATTAGCGTGATCTTTGCGTCTCCTCTTCTTAAATCTTAGTGAATTTTCATAAATTCTTTTCTCTGAACATTCATTCAACAGATTGTAATTTTTAAAATCCCACCAATTTTAATGTGTCTCTATTTATCAACAACAAAGCATCAGTATCAGATGCAGAAAGTCGTCTGTGCACCTGACGTGAGAATTGACCGGGACACTGAAAACCACCATGAAGTTCCATACTTGTTTATCTGAGTCAGCCAGTTTCTCGTGGAACAGGTGGCTTGGGCACATACTGTGAAATGAGACTTTGGGAGTTTTTAGTTGAACAGCTTGTTGTAAATCACGGAACATCTATTTTTGAATGACCTGTTCCAACCAAGATAGACAGTCTACTTTTTAATCAAAACGAGGAATTTGTTTCCTTGCTAGCATGGTATCGTGCAAGAACGCCACAAACCGCTGTCCGGGGGAGGGCAGGCACGAGATCCTTAGTGACCATCAGCCAGTAGTTAGATGGGACAGGTAAAGTACGGTGGCCTGTGTGTGATAAGTACTACTTTGCTTTTGACAGAACGAGGCCACGACCCAAAATGGAATGTTTGTAGTGAATGTGGTTTTTCTTTCATTTAGGGCGCTCTACTTCAGAGAAAGTTCAGCAGGAGGTAAGCACTGACAGATCAGCCCGAACGAGACTCGGCTGGCAGTAGTTTTTCCTCTCTTAGTACAAATTGAACGTTATAGTTGTGGGAGTTTATCAGCTGTAGACCTGACTTATGAAGGCTTTGAGTTTCAGAAAGATGAAATGACTTACTCAGTTCATCTTACTTGGAATAAAGCTGGAAAATCAGCCCAGGTGTCCTGCATGTAGCTGTCGTGGGTTCTGCTGTGTCACAGCTGTCCTGGGTGTTTTTCACCAGTAGAACTGGCCTAGGAATTTTGTGAGTTTGGTTGGGATTTTTCAAAAGTTATTTTGATAAGGATGTTACAAATTCTCAGACTTGATAAGTTAGCTATATAGATATCAATTATTCCAATTCTTAACCTTAGAATAACTGTAGTAGGATGTACTTGTGCTTTAATAAAATGAAATGGGGGTAAAAGCACTCAACTGCTCTTACTAAAGACCCACGTTCAGTGCCCAGCACCCACAACGTGGATAATGTTGCTCACAGCTTCAATTCCTGGGTATCTGTCTGATGACCTCTTCTGACCTCTTCAGTCTACTGCACACGTGTGGTGCACATGCATACACCTAGGCGCACACACACATAAATAATATTTATTATATGTAATATATGTTATAAGTAAGTAGATGGGAAGGAGCACCTGATAATACCAGGAACTTCAGAGTGCCCTGTGTTAGGTGCTGTTACTAGGGAACTGGGACTCTTTTTTTTTGGTTCTTGGCCTTGTTAATAAAAGAATTTAAGGGACTGGGAGTTTGGCTTAGCAGTTAAGAGCATCTGTTGCTTTTGTAGAATACCCAGGTTTGATTTCCAGTACCCGTGTGACAGCTTACCACCCAGGGGATCTGACACTCTTTCTAACCTCCATGGTCACCAGGCACATAAGTGGTGCATATACATACATGTAAGCAAAACACCCAATGCACATAAAATAAATCTAAACAAAATTTAAATAAATAAAGAATTTGTGAATGAAATCAGAGGGAAGCTCAAGGATTGTTTTATTAGAATTTATAAGAAAAACATCATGAGGGTTGGAGATGGATCAGCATTCAAGAGCCCTGGCTGCTTTTCCAGAGAGGATCTGGGCTCAGTTCCCAGCACCCCCATGGCAGTGCAACCATCTGTAACTCCATTAAGAGGATTTCTGGTGCCCTCTGCTGGCTTCGGAGTGCTCTAGGCACACATGTGGTGCACAGACATACATGCAGACAAACATTCATACACAAAATACGAACTAGACCTGATGATGTGAGTCCATGCAGTCCCTGGAACTCACATGGTAGAGGAGAGTCGACCCTGCAAGGTGCTCTCTGATCTCCACATGTACACGTATGTTTAAACACATGCATATTAAATAAGTAAGTAATATTGAAAGGAAGGAAAAGACAGGCAAGTTGAAAATCTTGGCAGCTCTCTGGAAGAGGCAAAGAGGAAGACCCTTGTTCTTTGAGTTAGATAAGGAGGTGAGGTCACTTTTTATCTTTTAGTTTAAGCTTAGGCCAGGCTCAAGTGTAGGAAAGTATCAGACTTTTCTTTTCAATGTCTGTGGGTCAAACCAATGATAAATAGTTGTCTGGGTATAAGACCAAAAGATGTTAGAAAAACAGAAGGAATTGTTAAAACTCTTGGTTTTTCCCTTCTCTTTTACATTAGGACATCTCTTGATCATCCCCTCCTCTACCTCCCTGTCTAAGTGACTGTGAGGGTAATAGGGATCATGAGATCCTTAGACACTGACATGGTGGCCTTCCTTTGTGTGACCATGGTGGGAGAGGAGGCCTTTTGAAGGCCACATGAGCCCCTACTCCCTGGTGACCAAGTGTTCAAGTGTGTGAGCACATGGGGGCTTTTTAAAGTTTTATTTATTTATTATGTGTGCAGTGTTCTGGTGCCAGAAGAGGGCACCGGATCATTTTAGATGGTTACTGGAACTTGGAACCTCTTAGCCGGGGCTCTTAACCTCTGAGCCATCGTCTCTCCTGTTTGTGTCACAGCAGCTGAGAAGTAGACGCAGAAACAAGGGTTCCCGTGGCATGATGGGGCGGAAGCAAGAGCAGACAGAAAGAGTAGAACAAGGGAGGCTGAAGGGGCTGGGGAGGATGTTTTAGACAGAGACGCAGGCTCCGTGTCTCCTGCCAGAGAGTGGCCTTAAGGTCCTGGCAGAAGCGGCCTCTCCAGTCTCCAGTCCCTGTGGCTCCTGCCAGCGGTGGCTTGTCCAGCCCTAGAACTTGTATATTTCTCTTTATATTTCAGCAAATTCATTTGTTATTGTGGTCCAGTGTTAGGAACTACAGACTCAGCTAGCTCAGCATAGTTTTCTTTCTTAGAATTTCTTTTTACTTCTATGATTGATTATTCATTAAAATATTATTGATTATTCATATTACTTACTGTGCTTTTTACATTTTAAACAGAACAATAGCAAAACTGAATTCCTGTCAACACCACCTCGTAGTCTAAGAAAAAGAATAATAGGTATGTATTTCTTTTTATGTGAAGTTGTGTTTACTTCGTTTTTTTGAGACAAGATCTATGTAGCCCAGGCTAGCTTCATACTCACTGTGTAGATCTGACTGGCCTTGAAGTAGGACTGGTCATCCTATTTCTACCTTCCAAATGTTAAGATTACAGACATAACTAACAATGTGAGGGTTTTTTAAAAAAATATATGTATATAAAAATTAACAACTAAATCAGGGGCTGGAGAGATGGCTCAGGGGTTAAGAGCATTGGCTGCTCTTGCAAAGGTCCTGAGTTCAATTCCCAGCAGCCACATGGTAGCTCATAACCATCAGTAATGAAATCTGGTGCCCTCTCCTGGTGTGCGAGCAGAACACTTTATACATAATAAATATATAAATCTTTAAAGAAATAAATCAGGATCAGTAGTGGTAAAGTATACGAGTTCTGAGTGTACAAGTTCTGGCTTGTGTTTTAAGCCTTTGGTCCCAGTGTAATCAGGGTAGCAGTTCCTGCTCTCATTCCTACCACTTTTCATATGAGAAAGGAAACTGATGCTTCCAAACTCTTAAGCCATGTCTACACCTACAGAGTGACCCGTTTTCTAGACTGTAGGCCGTGTCTACACCCACAGAGTGACCCGTTTTCTAGACTGTAGGCCGAGTCTACACCCACAGAGTGACCCGTTTTCTAGACTGTAGGCCGTGTCTATACCCACAGAGTGACCGTTTTCTAGACTGTAGGCCGTGTCTACGCCCACAGAGTGACCTGTTTTCTAGACTGTAGGCTGCGTCTACGCCCACAGAGTTAATATGCCTTTGTGTTATATACCAATTCTGTACAACCCTAGGGAACCTTTTGTCATTCACAGTCAACAACTGACCTGGTTAAAGTTACTTCACCAGTATTTTGGGAGTCAAACAGTTTTTTAAAGATTTATTTTTATTATTTTAATTATGTGTGCGCATGAATGCGAGTCCCAGAGAGGTCAGAGAGGTGCGAGGGGTCAGGAGTTATGACAATAGGCAGCTGTCAGCCTCCTGACGCGGTGCTGGGGCTCCGGCTCAGATCCTCCGGGACAGCACTGTGCTCCTCTCCACCGAGCCATCTCAGCCCCCAGACCTGATTCTGTGCTGATGCTGGATATAAAGCTGGGATGCCTTTATTTGGGATCATCAGTAGAAGATGAGCTCTTGTTTCTGGGAGGCCGGTGGGAGTGGCAGTGGCTTGTGAATCAGCTCTGGGGTTGAGCAGGGTGTGCTAGAAACGTCTCTACACGAATAATTTAGGGAAAGTATCTCACGTGAGAATAAGTTCTAATAACAGGACCCATAGAGAAACAGGTGGGCGTGGAGCCCGTCTGTGACTCCAGCATGCACGGTAGCTAAGACAGTATCCCCTGAGCAAACTGGCAAGCTCCGGGGTCAGCAGGAGAACCTGCCCATATTGTGAGGGATCAAGACACTTAAATCAACATCAGGCCTCTGTGTGTATATGCATAGATGGGCACTACACAAATACATGCCACCCCACACATTCTCACAGGAGTATTCATTACACAAACAAATGATTCATATAAAAATATAATTTTCCAGTAGATTATTTAGCTATGCTTACCCTCATGTGATAATTGAAGAAGCTAGTGCTTAGAGAATGTGTATAATTAGCTGTGAAAAAATGAACAAGCAATGACAAAATTGTAATTAAAAGTCTCTTACTTTGGGGCCTGGAGAGATGGCTGAGGGGTTAAGAACACTGATTGCTCTTGCAGAGAATCTGGGTTCAATTCTCTGTACCCCCATGGCAGCTCACAATTCTGTAACTAGTTCCAGGGGCCAGGCACCCATGACAAATCACCAATGCGCACACGATAAAATAAATAAATAGTCCCTTACTTGAAAGCCCACATGTTTGATTTTCCTCAAATAGCTCTCCTTTCAAACCGCCGAGTCTCCCCAATTCCTCCTCATCTTCTGCAGTGCCCGCGTCTCACTGCGACACCGAGAGTGAGTACTCCGCCTCCAGCTCGGAGGATGACAGAGAAGAGGACACTGCTGCCATCGGGCTGTCCCAAAAGGGCCGAGCTCAGAGCAGAGGACCCCCAGCTCCTGCTCCCAAGGGGACGCCGCCTAAGAAGATGAAAAGAGACAAAGCCGTAAGTGAAGACGGAGCCTGGGGCCTCCAGGGGAACTGTGTGCCTGAAATGGGCATGTCTACAGCAGAGATCAGCCCTCACCTTCCTCATTTTCTGTATTTTCTTAGCTTTACACATGAATTCCCACACATACTCGTTTCTGTCTTTGGGCTTTCTTTTCAGTTCTGGGTGCTTTTCATGATTAGTACCGTAACATACATAGTCTCTCTACTACATGTCTCTGCCTGTCCTGCATGGAGATTGGACTGACTTTGAACTCAGAGATTCGCCTGCCTCTGCTCCCAAGTACTGGGATTAAAGGCATACGCCACCACCACAGCCTTGCCAATCAGTCTATCTTTCAAGTTATATTTTCATCAGTTACTTGAACTTATTGTTGGGATTAAATATCTTTGATTCTTGACTTGGTTTTAACTATAGTGCCATCTAAATTTTATGCAGTATACATACGTGAAATTACTTAGACCTGCCATTACTTTGTCCATTTCAGAGTGACTTGGTAGAAGAATATTTTGAAGCCCACAGCAGTTCAAAAGTTTTAACGTCTGACAGAACCCTGCAGAAGCTGAGGAGAGCTAAAGTGGATCAGGTAAGCTATCACCAACATTCGTTTACTGTGACCTGAACATACATTAGCAGCACACTTGGAGAAGAAGCGAACAGGAGAATTAGTTCTCTGGTGAAATAAAGCACAAATTAATGTGTTGGTCATTAAATTTTATTGCATAAATCATAAATAATCCGGCTAGAATTCTATTTGACAAGTACGGAGCTTGTCTTCCTTGCTGCTTCGAAAAAGTTGCAGAGCGCAGTAAGGTAGCAAGGCAGCCTTGCACTATTTTCCCAATAGCTCATGCTACAAAAAATCCAGTATATCTGTCCTTGTCGGCATTTGAACCAATAGCCTCCCTTAAATAGGACATAACCATCACAGACTTTCAATAGTGCTTAAGGGCTGGAAACATCGCTCTGGAGTTCAAAGTATGTACTGTTCTTTTTTCTGGTTTTTTTTTTTTTTTTGGTGGTTGTTTTTTGAGACAGGGTTTCTCTGTACCTTTGGAGCCTGTCCTGGAACTAGCTCTTGTAGACCAGGCTGGTCTCGAACTCACAGAGATCCACCTGCTTTTGCCTCCCAAGTGCTAGGATTAAAGGTGGCACCACCACTGCCCGACATATGTACCGTTCTTATAGAGGACCAAAGTTCAGTTCCCAGCACCCATGGGATTCACAACCACCTGTAATTCTAGTTCCAGGAGACCCAATACCCTCTTTTAGCCTCCATGTACATCTTACTTGGATATACCTCCCCCAATAATTAAAGGAACAACAAAAATCTAAAAGATACAGTAGAGTTAATAATTTGAAGCCAAGAAGAAAATGTTCCTGGTTTACAGGTGTGCCATGATGGCCCTGTATCTCAATTCTTACGTACACATCACATACACATTAAAATAATAAAGTAGAAATTTTAAAAAGAAAATAAAAGAATCCCTATCAAAAAATAAGGACAAGGGACTGGAGAGATGGCCTAACAGTTGGGAGCACTGTTGTTACAGAAGACCCCGGGTCAGTTTCCAGCACCCATATTATCTGTCTCACAACTACCTGTATTTCTAGGTCAAGGGATCTGAGGTTTTATTCTGGCATCTTCAGGGCACCATGAGCACATGTGGTACATAAACATTCAAAGGTGTGGAGAGTGTTTGGGGAAGGTGCCACTGTTCGGATTCCACATGCTTATGGAAATGTACCTCCATTCATATACACACGTGAACACACACGTGCAATAAATAAGTAAAAAGACCTTTTCCAGGAAAGAAATGACACCAGCATTTGCCGTCTATTCTATATAAGCAACACAAGAGAAGCGTAAGTAGCTCTAAGGTCAAAGGCAGACTCTGAGCACGTCATCGCTGCGAGAATGTAAGAAGCCCTTGTTAACAGTGGTGGAGGAGAGTGTTACAGGCAGAACACAGGCATTTGTTTCCATGGCTGTGGGTCAGCGAGGAAATGTCAAACGTCTGTCCTTGCTAGACCAGCCAGGTCTCTGAGGTGTGTTCTCATGATGAGAAGGACTAAGAAGTGGGAAAGCCGATGACCTCTTCGAGCCTAGGGTTAAAACTGGCACACTTGTCAGGCAGGCAGAAATAGCTCGTGCCTTTAATTCCAGCATTTGTGAGACAGAGTTCCAGGCCAGCCTGATCTACAGAGCAAGTTCCAGGACTGTTAGGGCTAACACAGAGAAACACTGTTTCAAAAAAGAAAACAAAAAACCTAAAAGCTGATAGTTTTACTTGTGCCTCCTTCTAGTGGTAAAGAAACTTGAATATTTTCCAAAAACCTTTTTACAATTTTTCAGCTCTACAGGTTTGCAGTGTTTTATGTTTTAGTTACTGTGCTGATGGTCCGCTCAGGGCCTCACACTTGCAGACCAGCGCTCTGTCACTGAGAACAGCTTGGAGAGGTCACTGTTGGTTTTTGTGTCTGAATTTGAAGCAGGTTTGATCATCTTGCAGTAACTATATTTTTAGAAATTTAAGCTTTATATTTGGAGTTTGTTGTAATCAATAAATGGTTCTAGGCAAACTTAGCAAAATTTTTTATTGTTACTATATACTTGAAATAAAGAACTTTAAGAAGGCTTGGAGACATGATTCAGTCATTGAGAGCACTTCCTCTTTGACGGACCCAAATTGAGCTCCCAGCATCCACTTGGTAGCTCAGGAACACTTAGAATTCTAGATACCAGATGCCCTCTTGTGATCTCTGCAGGACAGTTATACACATAACAGTGATCAAATCTTTAAAATAGCTTTTAATTAAACAAGAATTTATGTTTGAAGATTTTTTTTCTTTTTTCTTTGGTTTTTCGAGAAGGTTTCTCTGTGTAACAATCCACACTGTCCTAGAACTCACTCTGTAGACCAGGCTAACCTTGAACTCGCAGAGATTCACCTAGTCTGCCTCCTGAGTGCTGGGATTAAAGGTTTGCATCACCACCACCCGACTAAAGAATTTTTTTACATTGTTGGTTTACTAATTTCCATACCTGATTTAAATCAGTATCCTCACTAATAACTTCCTCTCTCTTTTTTTTAAAGAAAACTCTGCGTAATTTATTGAGCAAATTTTCACCTTCCTTTTCTGCTGAAATTGAACAGTTAAATCAACAACATGAGAAGTTGTTTCACAAATGGATGCTCCAGCTACAGTGAGTATTATTACTATACACCCTGCACAGTGAGGAATAGTGCGTATATAAATGGATGCTACAGTGTTATGCCTGCACACCCTGCACAGTGAGGAATAGTATATATGTGTCTATGCTGAAACATCATTTGCAACCAGGTGTGGTGTGGTATGTGACCATTTACCTGTTTGTTTCTTCTTGATGTGATTTTGAGACAGGGTTTTTCTGTAGCTTTGGAGCCTGGGACTAGCTCTGTAAACCAGGCTGGCCTCGAACTCACAGAGCTCTGCCTGCCTCTGCCTCCCGAGTGCTGGGATTAAAGGCTGAGCCATGTTATAGTATTGGCAATAGTCACTCTTACCTCCACCTAGAGAAAGCTGCCAAACAAGCTGGAACTGTGAGCCCTCATATAGATAGTGAGTGGTGCCTTTGCTGTGTTCTTGGGAACCAACAATTTCACCGTGTGGATGTCCTAGTTCTTCCTGTACTTTCCGTACTTTTACTTTATCCACTTATCTTCATCTTCATGAGGCAGAGTCTCATGTAGCCCTGGCTAGCCTGAACTTGCTTTGTAAACCAGGCTGCCTCCAAGAGAACAGCAATTCTCCTGCCTCTGTCTCCCAAGTGCTAGGACTATAGGTGACAACACATATCTGGCTTTTACTTTCACCGTTCATTCTCATGCTTTTCTTCCTGCAATCATCTTGAGCTGACTGATGACGAAGCTGGCAGTCCGAAGTCTTAAACTTTAACTTTATGGATGTTCCCTTTCCTCACAGCCTCGGGTTCAACATTGTGCTTTATGGCTTGGGGTCCAAGAGAGACTTATTAGAAAAGTTTCGAACCACCATGCTTCAGGATTCCGTTCACCTTGTCATCAACGGCTTCTTTCCTGGGATCAGTGTGAAATCGGTAAGTTTCAGACTTTCCGTGGAATGACAATGTGTCCTGTGCCAAGTCATGGCCCCATAGTGGTAAGGATGCAATTTCTGTTTCTGGACACTGGATATAAAGGATTTTGTGTGGGGCTTCGTAGCAGTTAGGCTGTATAATGTCTAGCACCCCCTCTGGCCTCTTAGGGCACTGCATGCACATGGTGCACTTACATTCATGTGGGCAAAGCATGTGTTAGGACTTAAAATAATGGGAAAATCCTTTTAAGGATAATTAATAAATATAAGTGTAGACAGCACCTGAAGAACAGCACCCACGTTTGTCCCATGGCCTTCCCCTGTATCCACACAGAAATGTTTACCCATACGAGCACATAGATACATAATCACTGCCCTAAGTAAGGTTGCTATTGCTGTAATGAAACACCTGACCAAAAGCAAATTGAGGAGGAAAGGGTTTATTTGGCTTATTTATGTGTCATAGTCCATAATTAAAGGAAGTCAGGGCAGGAACTCAAACAGGAGCTGATGCAGAGGCCATGGAGGGAGCTGCTAACTGGCCTGCTCCTCATGGCTTGCTCAGCCTGCTTTCTTATAGAACCCAGGACCAACAGCCTAGGGATGACTCCATCCACAATGGACTAATTACTAATCACTAATTAACAACATGACCTCCAGGCTTCCATCCAGAGGGATCTTAAGGAAGTATTCTCTTGAGGCTCACTCCTCTCAGCTGACTTTCAGCAGGTGTCGGGTTGGCACAAAACTAGCCAGCACACTCGCAGAGAAGCTGACTTATCTGGAGCCTCCAGGAAATGTTGCCTTCGTTTACTGCACCAGGTTACTAGTGGAGCAGCTGAGAGTCAGGATCTGTGTATATTATAAAATCTGTAGTTTATTATAGTTTTGTGTCATTGTGGTACAGAAATATGAAGTATAGATGGCAGCAGATAGTTTTACAGTACATTTATTACAGACCATTTTTACTTCAGAAGAGGATTATATCAAGATTTTGGATATTGGGTATTAGCCAACGTAGTGTCCTGTTTTTAGCATCCTTCTGTGGGTATCATTTCTTTTGATGTTGATAGTTGCCCCCCCCCCCCTTTCCTATGGTTATTTCGAGACAGGGTCTTTCTGTACAGCAGGCTGTCCTGGAACTCACTGTGTAGACCAGGCTAGCTTTGAGTTTACCGAGCCCTGCCTCTGTGTCAGTGTGCTGGACGGCAGGTGTGCACCACCATCCCTGGCTCACGTTCACACTTCCACCAGGCTTTTTTACTGGTTACTTTTTCCTGCCCTCTTACATCATTTTTTCACATTATTATTCTTCCCTTTTCCTGTTAGCATTAATGTATTTAAAGAAAACAAAGGAGAAGAAAATAAAATAGATATACTTAAATGCCCAGTGGAATTTTAAGTACTTTTTAAACTTTATGAGAAACTCAAAATCATTTTTAACTTGTGGAAAATTAATTTGCTAATTGTATTTATCATATGTGACAGAATAAACTGCAGTTGATATGGTCCCTCTTGCACTTCTGTGATGTAGATCCTGAATTCTATAACTGAAGATGTCCTCGGTCATATGGGTACTTTCCAGAGTGTTCCGGATCAGCGAGACTGGATAATAAACAAGTTTAAAGAAGGTAACCTGAAGTAATCATCTGTAGGACTTAGGGTGAAGCTACACTGCTTTTCTGTATTTGTGGAATTCTGAACAGAAAGATGAATATTATTTTAGTATGGATGCTCTAGTCAGTGTCAATTTAGATTTCTTTAAAATAATTTATCTTTCCTGTTGTAGTGATTTGTTCTATGAATTAACTGTCAGTGTGACGTGCCTGTAGCAGCTTTGTCGTCTTTGTCTGACGTTTTGTGTTGTTCAGTGTCGTGTGCATCTGTATGTTCAGTATTCTGTGCATCTGTATGTTCAGTATTCTGTGCATCTGTATGTTCAGTATTGTGTGCATCTGTATGTTCAGTATTGTGTGCATCTGTATGTTCAGTATTGTGTGCATCTGTATGTTCA